TTCTCTATTTTACTATTCTATTCTATTCTATTATTCTATTAATTCTATGCTTATTTTTATTCTGGAATCTATCTTAAGTTTAATGGGACTTTCTCCAATATAAATATGAAAACAATTGTTATGTTATTACCTTTTGAACCCAGATCCATCACATCTGAAGGCATTCCCATTTTAGCGGCTTGAAAAGTTGGATCCAGAACTTCAGCGATATTTCGGCAAAACTGTGGCCTAAGTAAAAAAACCAAGACTATAAGATACATTTTAAAAATTACCTAGTCGTTGCTTTAGAATAGAGTAGAGTTAGAGTAGAGCAGAAGAATAGAACAGAATAAGAATTAGAATCAGAACAGAATAGAAAATAGAATAGAATAGAAAATAGAATAGAAAGTAGAATAGAATAGAAAATAGAATAGAATAGAATAGAATAGAATAGAATAGAATAGAATAGAATAGAATAGAATAGAATAGAATAGAATAGAACAGAACAGAATAGAATAGAATAGAGAATAGAATAAAATAGAATAGAAAATAGAAAAGAAAATAGAATACTATTTAGATATACTGCTTGACAGAGCTTTACACAGACCTCTCTAAGCGGTTTACAGAGTCAGCTTACAGCCCTCAACAATCTGGGTCCTCATTTTACCGACCTCGGAAGGACGGAAGGCTGAGTCAACCTGGAGCTGGTCAGGATCGAACTGCTGGCAGCGGGCAGAGTCGGCCTGCCACCCTGCATTCTAACTCCTGCCCCGCCACATATTTTGGCCTTCCACGTTTAATTCCCTAACTCTGGGATTAAAGCAGCCCACCCATCCGACTTCTTCTGGATGGCAGCTCCTTTCGCCGTCCCATTGGCGTCCTCTGGATCAGCCTGGATCCTCAGCAGGGCTGGGCTTCTGCCACTCGGCCAGGAGTCCTTCTGGAAACAAGGCAAGAGAAAGGCAAAGGTGGCTTGGAAAGGTCTAGACAGGTGTTGGGGTTCACCAGCAGCAGGTGCGGACAGCTGAGGCCTCGGAGGGCGAGGACTCGGATGAGGGGCCTGCGTGGGATGCAGGGATGGGGCCAGGAGCATCAGGGAGTGGAGTGCTGCCTTCGGAGCTTGTGGAGCCTGGCAGCAGTGAGGAAGAGTCCCCCGAGGAGCCTGTGCTCAATGCGCATGCACGCAGGGCTGCTTGAAGGAAAGAGCATCCAAAGCAGCAAGGGCGACTCAGGAAAGTAAGGCTGCAAGGTAATGTTCCCTCCCTTAAGGGATAAAAGCCAGCCTTTGGGGTTGGCTTCTTTGCAGGAAGCAAGGAAGTTCTTGCACTTCAAGTCCTCGTGGAAGTTCGGTCTATCCTGGTTTGTTTTTGGAGACTTTTGGCTTTGAATATTTCCTTGCAATTTAATCTGACCCTGCTGAGACCTGGAGGTAGAGATTGAGGACATCAGGCAAATGTTGATTTACTTCTATTGGGGAATGTGACTTTTGGGGGCTGTTTCTAATTTCCAATATTATGTGGGGTAATTCCGGGTTGTGTCAGATCTGGAATTACAACAGACTTTGCCAATTGGATGTTTTCCTAAATAAAAGAAATTAGTTTTGGGAGACAGGACTTGGCTCTTTTCTTTTTCAATGGAAACCTGACAGCTGCGGCTTCTTACCTCTGGGTTGCAATGGCTTTGTCCCTCGAGGGGCTCGGTCTGCTTCCTCTCCTGCCGTGGGGAGCCCCACTGGCTCTGGAGTTCCTTGTCTTGTAGGTAGCGGGCAATTTCCTAATTTGGTGGGGTGGGGAGCAAAGGGAGAAAGGATTCATTTTACTTACTTACTTACTTACTTATTTATTTATTTTGTTCTCCCCATGGTCAAAAGCTGGCTGGGAAAGCCACAAATGGCAACCACATCACTCACAATGACCTGATAGGGCTGGGGAAAATGCCGAAAATTTTTTAAAGTCCAATGATTGGTCTTCGGTTCCTCTTCCCCCCCCACACCTCCCCCCGCTGTCACCGTAACTTCAAACAGATGGCTGTAAGTCAAGGATGGCCTATAAGTTTCAGGCTACAAGGAAGGGATTTCCAATTGGCTGTCGCCTTAACTTAAAAAGCCGCTGGAGAGGGGAAATTCATGAAAGGTGATGACAGGTGTCACAGGATGAGTTCAGAGAGAAGCTTCAAACCATCTTGCCAGCTACTCACCTCATCCTGGGCCACCTGAGCCGCCCGGTAATCGTCATCTTGCTCCCGGTTCCTCCTAGCTCTCTGCAGAAGGAAGAAAACGTTGAACCAGGGGTCCAGAGAGATATCCCCCTCCCCAGAAGGTTAATCTTGGTACAGGAGAAATGAATGGGACTATGACAACTCTCAATGCTTCCTGATCGGTAGGGTGTCAGGATTCCAGCCGTCGCCCGAATTAAATCGTGATCCTCGAGCCAAACTTCAAAACAAACTTCCAAGGATTCATTAGAGGCGACATCCTGGCCCTGCCCTGTCGGAAGGCAACTCTGGCCTACGTCATTTACAGTCCCCTGTGACTCTGTTTTCCCCACTCCCCTCCAGGGTGTGTCATAAATCAGATTCTCCAATTGAGCACCTTCACAGGCTGGGGGTCATCAATCACGTTCTCCAATTAAACACACTGGCAGGCAAAAGCTCCGGTAGTTTAGTTATAATCTTTTCAAGAGAAAGAGTTGGAATGTGCTTCCACTTCCAAGCGGCTGCACGGCTCTTCCCGATTTCCTTCCTTCTCCCCCCCCTCCCTTTTTAATGGCAATTACTAAAACAGGCGTAGGAATGTTTGACGAGTTGACATTGGGTTGGGGTACGCACCACGCGCGTCTCTTCCCTTTCTTCTTCCTCCTGCAGCTTCCGGGCCAGTTCCTCATCTTCCTGAAACTGCTGCTGGATCTGGAGTTCCAATCTGGCCATCTCCCAGTGCAGGGCCTCGGGGACGCCATCTGAACGCACAAAGCAAAAAAGATGAACGGAGAAAATTAGGAATGGAATAGAGCTGGAAGGGACCCTGGAGGTCATCTAGTCCAACCCCCCCACCACCACCACCCGCTCAGGCCGGAGGGCCGTGCTGTCCAACACAACTAGAAGACACCCAAGTTCACCACAGAGGCACGCTGGCCCCCTAGGGCGTCCTTACCTCTTGTCCCACGTGAGGCCCTTTGCTTTGGCTGACCGCTCTCGTCCTTTTCCTAAATGGGAGAAACAGAAACAGAACCAAAAAGAAAAAAGAATCTCTTGAGAATGCTTTCCTTCATGAGGACTAGAGCTTTGCTTGGCTCAGATCTCCCTTCCTTTTGCTAGCCCCCTCCCAGCGAGATGCTTCCTTGCAGCTTCTGCCCTCCTTCTTGTTAGCCTTGCTCAACAAACCACAAACAAACCACAAACCAAGGAGAAACCTTGACAGAAGAACAGAGTTGGAAGGGACCTTGCGGGTCATCTAGTCCAACCCCCCGCCCAAGCATTGAACCGTGCTCTCTCAACAGGCTGTTTCAGGTCTTCAATCATCTTAGTTGCTCTTCCCTGCACATTTTCCCCCAAAGTCTCTTTTTGTTCTAACATGGGTGACCCAAACGATTTTGATTCTATTTCATTTTTTATTTCATTTTAATTTTTATTTGTCAATTGCTTACAATAGGTATAAGTAAAAACATAGTTATGAATACATGGATACATATAAGAAAAATAAAAAATATATATAAAAGAAACAATAGGACAGGGACGGTAGGCATGTTAGTGCGCTTATGGACGCCCCTTACAGACCTCTTAGGAAAGGGGTGAGGTCAATAGTAGACAGTCTAGGGTTAAAGTTTTTGGGGTTTGGGAAAGAAACCACAGAGTCAGGTAGAATATTCCAGACATTGACCACTCTGTGGCTGAAGTCGAATTTCCTGCAATCAGGTTTGGCGCGATTAACCTTGAGTTTGTATCTATTGTTTGCTCTTTTGTTATGGTTGAAGCTGAAGTATTCATTGACAGGTAGGACATTGCAATGCATGATTTTATATACTATACTTAAATCGGACCGATGGCGGCGTAGTTCTAGGTTTTCTAGGTCTAGAATTTCGAGTCTGGTGGCATAAGGTATTCTACAAGGAGTAGAGGAGTGGAGAACTCTTCTCGGGAAATATTTCTGGACTTTCTCAACTGTGCTAATATCAGATACGTAATGCGGGTTCCAGACTGATGAGCTGTTTTCGGGTATTGGTCTAGCAAATGTTTTGCATGCTCTAGTTAGTAGTGTGATATTACCTGAGAAAAAGCTACGTAGGATTAGGTTGACAACTCTTAATGCCTTTTTGGCTATGTGGTTACAGTGGGCTCGAGCACTTAGATCATTTGAGATGAGTACTCCAAGGTCCTTGACAGAGTTTGGATCCTCAACAAGGTCTTGACTATTCTCTGCCTCTGTTGATACAACCAAGGACTGTATTATTTATATATTGGGCTGTTTATTTGAAATAATGACATAGAATTGTTAAATGGTCCCACAGCAAGTTCTCCCATGGTGTGTTGGCCGTGGTGAGTTATCTCACTTCGGGCCGAGAGAGGCCCGTGGGAGAGAAGGATGAATGCCACCAATTGTTCACCGGTGTATTCTCTTTGCAACGTCTGTGCACCAGAAGGTTTCTCTGGGTTGGGAGTGTGTGCAGCCGTGTGCGTTGGCCGAACGCGATCCCCACCCTTGTCACGACTGACCAAATCTTGGGAGAAGAGAAAGGCGATGTGAAGTCATCTCCTTCTTGCGTTTCGCTCCCCAATGTTCCGGAACCGGGTTCAATAGGCCTGGGAGTATTTGGATCGGACCCAAAATTAGCAGAGGAGGGAGAAGGAGGAGTGGCCGACGGTGCGGTGGGAAGCCTCGGTCAGATTTTGGCAAGCAATTACTGACTTTGTACTCCGGAGGTATGTGTGGGAGATAGTGGGGAGGTGTGAGGGAAAGAAAATGACGCCTCTTTGGTTTGTATCTGCCCAAATTGCTCTCAGAATGCATGAGTAACGGCCAAGCGTGGAGTTAAGAGGCAAGTTTTGGTAAAAAAAAAAAATGGTCAAGAATGATGTAGATTTGTCATCGGCACCTCTATAACCGTCTGGTTTGGTTCTTCAACCCAACAAGAAAATGTAAGGGGCCCGATCTACCCAATGGGGAGAGGGAGCTTTTGGACCTCAGGGACCACCAAACTCATATTTTTAAATCCCGCAGACCAGAGACCCTGGGGAAATCCCCCCAAAAGTCTGCAGGAAAATCCCCCGCTCCGTTTTCCTACCGATCGATTGTTCTTTACTGTCTCCAGTTCCGTTCTCAGGGAAGAGAGAGAGAGAGAGGAGAGAGACTTTTGGCTTCATGCAAGGAAAACAGCAGAAGCTGCAAAAGTCTTTCTTTCTCTTCCCCCAAAACTCTGCCAGAAATGAGTCTTTGTGAGACTTGTCGTGCCGGCGCAGCCTCTTGGAGCAGGAGGCCTTGTAGGCACGGGTGGGAATTCAACCGGTGTTACTACCGGTTCGGTTATTACGTTTTGCGCGCGCACGAAAGAGCTTTTGTTTTGTTTTTTACAGAAGAACAAACACACATCCCTGCCCAAGAGGTTGGCCCTCTGTCCCTTAAGAATAAAACTTGGGATTTCTTTCATTTCTCTCTCTCCTCTTCCCTGCAGCCTGCAGAGGAAGAAAGCTGGGCTATTTTGCGGGGTTCAAACTTTAATTGTGGAGGCTGTTTGTTTTCGTTGGGATGAGGATCCGTGTTATTGTTTTGCACGCTGGGTGCTGCTTTCACAATGGGGAGAAACTGCTGGTCGGCTGCTGTTTTCGTCGGAGATGCCAGATGGTCTCGGGGAATTTGTTCCTCCTCTCGGAGCGTTGCTTACGAGTCCCATAATCTGATCAGGAAATGCATTTATAGGGAGCGGGAAAACTGCTTGGCTCTTTATTATTATTGTTATGAATCTCCCCCCGGAGGCTGTTTTAAAAGTCTGTTATCTCAAGCCCCTTTTTCGTCCTCTCCAAGGGCACTCAGCCAAACCCAATAATGCAAGAGCGATATTCTTTTAGAGAGGACGCCTTTATGATGACTTTAGATTGGATCAACAGAGTTGGAAGGGACGCTGGTCTGAAGGGCACAGGTGCTCCTGCCTGAACAGGGGGGGTTGGAGTAGAAGACCTCCAAGGGTCCCTTCCAACTGTGTGATTCTATGATGCTGAGATAGATAAGGATGGAAAGATGGATGGATGGATGGATGGAAGGAGGGAGAGAAGGAGGGAGAGAAGGAAGGAGGGAGGAGGGAAGGGGGGAAGGAGAGAAAGAAGGAGGGAAGGAAGGAAGGAGGGAGAGAAGGGAGGGAAGGGAGGAAGGATGGAGAGAAGGGAGGGAGGAAGGAAGGAGGGAGGGAGGAAAAAAGGAGGGAGAGAAGGGAGGAAGGAAGGAGGGAGAGAGGGAAGGAGGGAGAGAAGGGAGGAAGGGAGGAAGATTGGAAGGAAGGAAGGAAGGAAGGAAGGAGGGAGAGAAGGAAGGAGGGAGGGAAGGAAGGAAGGAAGGAGGGAGGGAGGGAAGGAAGGAAGGAAGGACTCTGGAATGATATACGGCCTCCTGCTTGAGCAGGGGATTGGACTCTCAAGGAAAATGAGTAGGGGGTGGCATGATAGCAGCCTGCCAAACTTTAAGAGGCTTGTCACCGAGAAGCAGCACAATTCAGTGAACAAATGTTTTCACTTAGCGACAGAAATCTCGGGCTCCGTGGTGATTGTAAGTCAAGGACTATCCCAACAGCACCCCGGAAAATCTTTTGGGGCACTCCTACCTCCCGAAAAGACCAAGGGTCCATCATTGCAACTTTGGCCCAAGCTGGTGCTGCCCAAGAGCGGCCAAACCAGGGCAATTGGAACTTGGCCTGAGGGAATCTCCTACCTGATCGCCGCCGGCCTTCTTCCGTTCCCCTTTTCCTGGTTTCACCGGAAGATCTTTCTGGGCGTTTTTCGGGTCTCCCTCATGGCTACAGGTGGACAGGGGGAGAGGCAGTTAGACAGGAGCAATCCTGGCTTTGCGGAACGATGGACAGAATTAACAGAATCACGGAAGGGACCTCGGAGGTCTTCTAGTCCAGCCCTGCTTAAACAGGAGACCCTAGACCATTTCAATCAATCAATCAATGCAAATAGAGCTGGAAGG